AAGGGACCTGAGAACTAGAAAGGCGAGGCTCACTGAGCCATTTATCTCTCCACCCTTCAATTAACCCCTCATGTGTTTATTGGCCAGGCTGGCATAATTAACTAACTAACTCAGTGGATGTGAAAAAACAAGCAGAAACAAAGCACAGCCTTCTTGAAGATTAGAGAATTTACAGTTTATAATTATCTTTAAAAAATAAGTCACTAGTTGGGTAATAAGGAAAAACCAATTGCTAAGATTTCTTTTGTTTTGAACAAAGGAGAAATGGACCATTCTGTGTTATTCCAAATCTCCCAGCACAGTTTGATCTGAAGAGGACGAGGAAGAGCACTGGGGGTGTAGTGGTTATGTATTGGGCTGCACTCCAGATGGTCGGTGGTTTAAAACCACCAGCAGCTCCTCAAGAGAATGACAGGGCTTCCTACTCCTGTAAACAGTTACGGTCTCAGAAACCCACAGGGGGTCACTAGGAGTCAACGCAGTGAGTTTTTAATTTATGTTCATGTAGAAACAGACTTGGATTTAATACCTCTTCTGCATGTTATAATAAAATCCTTCATAATACTTTCAGGAATGGAAGGCATAAACACTCTACATACAAATCAGAGACTGGACAGTTTACTAATTTCATGAGGTGCACGGTACCAACCTGAATAGAAACCAAAGATTAAAGTTTTTATTCATTTTATCTATTCTCTTCTGAGAGGAAAAGGATTAGCTCTAAGTGTTCTTTGGCTGAAGGTCTGATCTATCTGAAAAGGAAACTACTCTAGTTTGTTTAACCTTTAAGCACTTGCTCCTCTCGTTTATTGTCTGATTTATATTGGTTGGTGCCATGGTTTTTCCCATCAAATTAATTATTTAAGGAAAAAGTAAAAATTATTTGCCTTTAATAAAAGTTATCATGTTTAGCCACTAGGAAAATGTGCTTTGGAAATACTGTTTAGTCCTTTACGTACATACAGTGCATATGTACTGTATTGGAACATAGTGAAACGAGGAATTCTGGCCTCCGGTGTTTCCAATTAGATCACTACCTAGTTAACTTTCTTAATGGGCTCGGATTTCAGTGAATGTGAGAGAAGTGGGGCAGGGGTTTCAGAAAGTGAGACACTTTGCAATGACACCTTGTCTGGAACCAATGGGCTAGAGTAGAGGTCCATTCAGAAGGTAGCAGAGTGTGCTGCCAGCTGACTTCTTTATACCAGTCCATAGCACTGTATAAATATGCAAATGACATTGAAGATTCACAGATTATTTTTAGCAAGGTGTTAGTTCCAGTGGCCTGGAAATTTTTCTCTCAGGTATTGATATTCTGCAACCCTTGAGAATTCAATTACATACCTTCAGACGTTTCTCTCCTTCCAATTCTTCCGGGCATGCTAACATGTCCTTCACACAAACAAGGGGAAAAAAACATTCTATGCTGGTCCCTGTCCATGCTTTACATTTATTATACACCAGCATGCTTGTACACAGTGGTGTGTGGAAGAGACACCTGGTGGGCTAGCTAGCACACATATTCCTGGGCCCCATTTTCAGAGGCTGAGCGGGGTGGGGGGGTGAGGGGGGATCTGAGAATATTCCTATCGAACATCTCCCAGGGTCTGTTGAGGCTACTTACGAAACCGGCAAAGCAAGAGATCGAACGAGATATATTATTTCCACATAGAGTATTTTATGTCAAATTACCATTTTTCACTCTAGAAACACTCTTCTTTGGGCTTTCAAAGGCAATGAAGCTCTTCCAGATCCTGTGGGCTTTCATTTAGCATTAGCATTTAGCCAACATCTCCTAAGACAAACCAGAGACTTCTGTGTACACCCTTGTCAGCGTGGCTGCATGCGGTAGGTGTTTCCTGGAGCAGAGTTAGTTACAGAAGAATTAGCAGCTGAAGGGGGCGAGCAGGGTAAACCCAGCCTGTATCAACCCTGCCACGTCTTGCATCCAGGTAGGGACCCAGCCTTCACACTCAGAGGAAGGAACACCTGCGGAATCACTCTAACTCCCAACGCCTTTTATTGAACTAAAGCACATTCTTTATCATATGTTCTAAACATCTTGTTCGTAGAATGACTATCGAAAGCTGTCCATGCAATGCAAAGACTTTGTGGTGGGCGTGCTGGACCTCTGCCGAGACTCTGAAGAGGTGGAGGCCATTCTGAATGGAGATCTGGAATCGGCAGAGCCTCTGGAGATGCACAGGCATAAATCTTCCTTGAGTCGTGTCAAACTTGCCATTAAGTATGAAGTCAAAAAGGTGAGTGGGCACTCTCTCACCCAGCACCATATTTCCAGGTCTCTCTTAAATCATAAAATGTCACTGATTCAAGATTTTTAAAAAAATGTTTCTCTTCATGAAAAGATTAAGTGAAGTGTCATGGTAAAGTTGGGCGTCAGATATCCTTTGTAGCTTTCACTAGTTGTGGAACATTGGCTAAGTCAGACATTTTCTTGAAATTTCAGTTCCAGGGTTGCTGCAAACCAAAAGGTTTTGAACCAAGTTCAAAACCAGCAGCTGCTCCTCAGGGGAAAGATGAGGCTGGCTGCTCCCATCAAGATGTAGTCTCAAAAACCATAGATAGGGCCACTGTGAGTTGGCGGTGGGTTTCATTTCATTTTGGTTTTAGAAGGAGTGCTGTGAGCAAAGCATTGGGCTGCAAGCTGCAAGATTGTTCAAACTAACCCACTACTCCAAGGAAGAAAGGTGAGGCTGCTGCTCCCTGAAAGGGTTTCAACCTCAGAAACCCCGTGGAGCAGTTTGAGTCTCTCTTGGAGCCCTGGTGGCACAGTGGTTTGGAGTTGGGCTGATCCACAAGGTCTGCAGCTTAAAACCACCAGCCTTTCTGTAGGAGAAAAATGTGGCTTTCTACTCCTGTGGGCAGTGAAGGCTGTCGGAAATGCACAGGGGCAGTTCTCCTGTTCCATGGGATCACTACGGGTCGGTGCCGACTCCATGGCAGTGAGTTTGGTTTGGGTTTTTGGATAAGGTTGCGATGAATTGGAGTTGGCTCGATGGCAGTGAGTACGACAGCAGGAAGGGGCACAGTATCACTTATGTATCTCAGGGTTTTGGTGGCTTTAACATGGATTAAAATATGCAATCACACTTTGTAAACTACTCGTTGCAGAGCAATTGATAATTATAAAACCTATTCTATATTTTATAAGACTCTGTTACATACATTTTCATGTTTATCCATGAGACAAGCCTATCGTATTACCCATTTTACCCACAGTGTAAGACAAATGATGAGATTTTCACAGTACAAGGAAACTGAGGTTCACCAACCTTCAATGGCATGCTTATGTTCACATAACTATGCAATTGCCTATGTAGCTGTTAGAAATAAAGAATAACTGTTAGTTCTTGCCTGGGTTACTATGAAGAAACACTTAGTTGTGTGAATGTGATGACTTGCATGGGCTTTTAAATAATCCATGAAAAGAGTCATTTTTAAGTCCTCATGGAAGGAGCACACCAGTCTGTGTGGTCCAAAGATGGCAATAACAAAATCCAAACGTGGCAAAGGGAAAAATAGCAGAGCTTTAGTTGTGAACAGCCAGCTTATAGAAGGCTATGGAGGACAGTGGAAGCCCCAAATCCATCTACTCAGTGTCTAATCAGATGAAGCCTCCGGCAGATCCCCTCAGGCCACAGGCGAGGGATGGAACTGCTTTCCTCTGGGACAGAGAGATGATTGTCAGCCTGATGACAGTGGATCGAACATGGATTGAACGTTTGGTCAGATGACCTCTCTCTTGACCCCTCAATTTGTTCTAGGCTCAAGTATTCCTTGCTTGTTCCATGACAAAATTTCTTCCCTACCTTTTTAAAATATTGATGGTGGTCTTTTCTCTCCCACTTTTTATTTGTATTTTTGTCATATTATTAGTATTATTTTATTCTTGCCATTTTACTTTGTTTTTGTTTTCTATTGGGTTTCCCAGTTTTTGAAGCACGAAAGGAGTAGATGCAAAGAGATAATTATTGATGCAATGGTTTATGGAGGATGGGCGCTGGGGAGGAGGGAGGGAGGGAGAGGGGATTTGGGGAGCAAACGATGAATGCAGGAGAGAGCACGAGAACTGATTATGTATATACAACTCATTTTAAAAGCAATTTGACCAGGGAAGTGTATGATATGTGAATACCACATCAAGAAAACCATTCAAAAATAAATAAAAGAAACCAAACTTGACTAATGGTTACCATGGATGAAGGGGAAAGGGTTGTTGCTTAGGGGCGCTGAATTTATGTCAACAGTGGTGGAATAATTTGGAAAGGATATCAAGAATGGTTGTACAGCACGCAGAGTATAATCAATGGCACGGAATCATACAAGCACAAGTTGTGGGATTGAAGAAGGTTTTGTTGTGTATACTTTTGCCAAAATTAGAAAAATAATACATGAATAGCAATGAGTACAAGGAAGCAAATGTTCTAGGAATTGAATGTGGCAACAATTACACAACTCTTCTTGATATTATTGAATTGTGTGACATGTGGATGAAGTGCCAATAAATCTGTTAAAAAGAAAACAGTCGTCTGTTGTCTGACTATTACAAATAACTCAGGTGTCAGGTGTGCTAATACATCGAATTGTGTGTGTTGTTGTTGTTGTAGTTGGGGTCATCCAGTCCATTCCAACCCACAGCGACTTTCTGCACAGCAGAACTGACACGCTGCCCCGCTGCGCCTTCCTCACTGTGGCTGCTATGCGGGAGCCCATTGCTGCGGCCACTGCGTCAGTCCACCTCCTGGAGGGACCTCCTCGCTTTTGTTGTTCCTCTGCTTTACCAAACATGATGCCTTTCTCTGGGTCTCTCCTGATAGCATGTCCAAAGTATGTAAGAAGAAGCAAGGAAGCCTTGCCATGCTGACCTATAAGGAGCACTCTGACCGCACTTCTTCCGAGCGTGACGGGTTTGTCTTTTTAGCAATCCGGGACACTTGCAAGGTTCTTCTCCAGCACCACCATTGAGTGCCATCGCTCCTTCTCCGGTCTTCTCTGCTCACCATCCAGCTTTCCACGTGCACGTGCACGTGAGGCCATTGGAAAACCACGGCTTGTGTGAGGCACACATTAGCCCTCAAAGTAACAGTGCTGCTTTTCAAAACTCTACAAAGGCCTTGTGCGCAGATTTACCTAATCCAGTGCGTCTTTTCATCTCTTGCCTGCTGCTCCATGCCACGATGGCATGAAGTGTGGATGCCAGGAAGACAACATCTTTGACAACTTCACCCCTGTCTCCATTTATCAAGTTATCACAGGTATCATAGGTCCAGTGGTGAGGAGTTGGGTCTTCGTGACACTGAGATGTAATCAATACTGAAGACTGCAATTTTTGATCATCATCAGGAAGTGCTCAAGTCTTCCTTGCTTTCAGTTATCCTCTGCATATCGAAGGTCGTTAATAGGGAGCCTCCGAACCCAACGCCGACACATATGCATATGACCAGTGGAACCCAGATCTCTCTCTCTCACACACACCAAGAGAGTATTCACAAGACTTTGGCCAGTCATTAATTATGGAGCTCCCATCAACTTAGTAAAACAGTGAAATATGAAGATTCTCATTATAGTCTGAAGCAAAATAACTTTTTGAGAAAGTTACCACTTATAAAATAATTTAATCAGCTAGAATGGCCCCTCCCAAAGCATTCTTATTATTATTGTTAGTTAGAGTTTTGGTTAAATTGAGGTAAACAAGGACTGTTGACAAAGATTACTATGACACTCTGCTTGGAAACGTTATGGACATTTATTCACAGGTCTTGCATTGCCCGTCTCTTTGCCACTGAGGGGAGAGAGTAGATTTCAGTTGTCTCTGGTCTTTACTGTTACTTCGAAAGTGGACGATTAGCACAGGCAGCCCATCTGCAGATGTGCTTCTGTTAAGCAAATCCTTCTGTAGAGTGATTGTCTTTCTGCATGTCAGTTTCAAATGTGTGGGTCAAAATGTATGAGGTGCCACTAATAATGAATTTGCTATCAGTCAATCGCCAAGAAACAGCCAAATAAAATTTATATATGGAACTGGAAAAAGATTTAAGATGTTTCAAGCATGTTGTTTTGTCTGGGATATAAAAAGAATACTAGTTAAAAGCCTGTAGTTCAGAATCCTCATTCAATAAATGTGTCAAAGAATTCCATTCTGGAATACTCCAAAAGTATTCAACAGCTACCCATCTCTACTGTAGCAAGGAGGAAAACTATCAGCCTTACCCACCCCAGATTTTTCCCTTTTCTTCTCTCCCAAATCGAAGCTCAATGAATCCCCCTCTTTGGTGATGCCAGGGGCTGAGTTTCACTCAGGATGGCACTTGTTCTACACTGATAGAAGAGATCATGGGATCTAAAAATAGTTTTATATTTGATGGACATTTTTTTCATGACATTGTATGATGCTCATGTTTATTTGAATCAATCCTTGATTCCAACAAAGAAACTAGTTTGATGTAATGGGGAGCAGTTTGGGTTCCTTCCACAAGAGACAGAGCATTTGTCTCTTGCCGCCTGCCTAAGAACTAGTCCAGCTCTGGGTCTGAATTCCATGGACCAATACCAGGCCTTTCAGAAACCCCTGTGTTGTTCATTGGCTTACATCCGCCCTCTAAGTGCCCTAAGTTTAGGTCTTCCCTGGTGCAGAAATGGGGTGGGGACCCCATCTGACCTCCCCTGGCTCCCAAGGCTGACTGCCATGAAACGGAGGTCAGACATACCTCCACTCTCCATCCTTCCTTACCAAGTTTGATACCAATTGTCCCTCCCACAGCACACTCTGCTTGTCAGCTGGGTTCTTTGATTCATTGCAGTGGCCACACAGAACTCAAAGCCACTGCTCGCTATGATGGGGGTGAGAGATCAAAAGATTAGGTAAATCTGCTACCCAAGACCTCTTTTTAGTACTGAAACCAAGGGTGTTACTTGGAGGACTGAGGTGCCCCTGTTGCCTCATCTGCATGTGAAAGTTGGACCGTGAATAAGGAAGACTAAAGAAGAATTGATGCCTTTGAATTGTGCTGGAGAAGACTATTGAGTGAAGTGTGGATTGCTAAAAGGACAAGCAGGTCTATTTTGGAAGAAATATGGCCAGAGTGCTCCTTAGAGGAAAGGATGGCAAGACTGTCTTACATACTTCGGGCATATTGCCTGAAGAAACCGGTCCCCGGAGAAGGACATCATGCTTAGTAAAGTGTGAGGGCAGCAAAAAACGAGGAAGGCCCGTGTATTAGTCTGGGTACTTTGGAGAAAC